GGCTGGTCCTGAAAGGCGGGGCGATGGCAGAGGGCCCCAGTGGACGAGAGGAGGAGGCCAGTCCACAAGAAACCTTCCACAAGAAACCCAACCCTGAGACCCCAGGACGTCACTTGACTTCGAGTGTGGGAGCGTCACGCTTTTCTCAGCAGAACCATCGAAACCCCAGGAACTCAGGGCACCCTGGAGGCAAGCAGGGTGCTTCTTGGCATGGGCCTCCACTGCAGGAGGAGAGGGGGGATCGGGGAGCGACGCACTGCACAAACTGCAGCGTTTGGAGCTCCGTGGGGACTCCTTGGGATGGGCGCCGGACCCCCCTCCCCGGCGCGCGGCGCCGAAGGGCCGCCAGGGGGGCGCGGAGCGCCGGTCCAGGGAATCCGAGCGCGGAGCTCCGAATCCGCCAGGAGGAGGAGGACGAGGAGGAGGAGGACGAGGAGGAGGGAGGAGGAGGAGGAGGAGGGAGGAGGGAGGAGGGAGGAGGGATGAGGGAGGAGGGAGGAAGGCGGCGGCGGTCTCATCCGGAGCACGGGTCACGACTCGCCGAAAGCGAAGGGGGATACAAAAATTGCCCCAGCTCCTCGAGTGCGCTCTACAGCGGGGTCTGTGCGCGTGGGGGGGGCCCGCAGCACCTCGGCACGTCCACGGAGGGATCCCGACGGGATGGGCCGGGGAATGAGGAGAGGGAGGCAAGCCTGAGCGGGCTCGAACGTAGGCGTTTCTGCTTACTCTAAAAAATTCGGCACTTGGCCGAAGGGTGGGGGATAGTGGGGGCTGGGTCTGGGCCTTTGCTCAGTCGAGCGGCTTCCGCCACTCGCGCAGGCAGACTGGGGGTGGCCGTGTTGACCAGTCGCCAAACGCAGCCACCACAAGCAGCCAAGATCTGGTCTATGGGGAGGGGGAGGGGAGGGCGAGGGCTCGCGCCGATCGGCAAAACAATGACAAAAAAACGGATCGGAGCAGATGGGGTCCGAGCAGACGGGGTCCAAGGATCGCGCCGCATCGCCGATGCATCGGCGGTGCGGCTCGATGTGGAGCCCGCCTTCCTCTACGACGAGGGCGCCGATGCACCGCCGAGGCACCTCGAAGAAGCAGCAAACGCCAGACACATACCATTCCGGCGCGCCGCGCAGATTTCGCGCACCTGCGCTGGACCCCCCCTCCCCGGCGCGCGGAGCGCCGCCCGGGGCGTCGCAGGAGGCGCCGCCCGGGGGGGCGCAGCGCAAACTCTGAGAACTCCGTGCGGAGCGCCAGAAGTTTCTATGCTCATGGGTTTTTTCTCCTCTTCGATAGGGCGACGAAATCTATGCATATCCACTGCTCCCTGGCCAGGCACACCGTGAACCCAGCAGCAGTGTATACGCCACACCCTCCTGGCTGGGCCAGGAGGGCGTATACACAGCTCCTGGGTTTAGAGTGGGCCTGGCCAGGGAGCAGTGGATATGTATAGATTTCGTCGCCCGATTCGAGGTGCATCGGCGGTGCAGCGGCGATGCATCGTGGACGCGTCGGCGCTGCGGCGAAAGGGATCGGACACGGAGCGGATCGCGCCCCGGACCGTCGCGGAGGCGGCGCGGGAGCGGACCTCGCCCCGGGACCCAGGGGGAGAGACCGCCGGCCCCTGCAGGCCGCAAAGGAAGGGGCCCTGGGACACACAAATAAGTATAGGGCCACGAGGTCTACACATATCCGCTGCTCCTGGCCAGGCCCATCCTGGGCCCAGGAGCTGTGTGTGTGCCTCCCTGGCCAAGCCAGGAGGGGGTATACACAGATCCTGGGCCCAGGATGGGACTGGCCAGGAGCAGTGGACATGTATAGACCTCGTCGCCCTAAAATACACACCAAAAACAGGATTCCCCCTATTTTCGCATATGTTTTCTGAGTTTTTTTGTCTTCCCCCCCACCTCCCACATTCTCCCATCTCTTCTGGGAGTCGACGATGAATCGTGTCTGTGTGTGTTTTCTCCCTCCTGAGCAAAGCAGTGGGGCCGAGGTCGTGCTGGGTCGGATCGGGATCGACAGCTGGGGGTCGCTTTGGATCGGATCGGGTCGCGAACAGCCCTGGGGAGGGATGGCATCGGACTGGGAATGGCAAGTGACGGGGTCGTGTGAAGAACACCCCTGGGCCCGACTGGGCCCATCAGCCTTGCAAAGAGGCCTCGGGGAAAACGTCCCTCTGAGAGGGTCCAGGATAGAACCTCCTGGCATCGCTCGGGGACCTCGTGCACTCTGGCCTGAGCCCTGCTCTGTAGGTTGGCCGAATTACTAGAACAACCCGCAAACCCCACAGATCGAGGAGCGGTACCAGAGGGGAGCAGTGGAGCCGGTCGATCATCGCGAACGAACCTATCAATCGCCCGCGGTAGCTGCCCCTGAGGACATTGCTTTTCACGATCTCCTGCTGCCCAGGGGGAGGGGAGGGAAGGGGTCGGGTAACGGTGGCGCTTCGGCGGGGAGGGGGGCAGGGAGCGGGGCAGGGCGGGGCGAGGGTGCGCTGCGATCGGCACAGTGCCCTGCACGCAAGCCCGGATCAGTGCGACCCTGGCCCTGCAAGATCCTGAAAGATCCGGCGCTCTGACTGACCCCCGTTTGCATTGACCCCCGTCTATTGGGCCCCGATGCGTACAATCGTCACCCGTACCCGCGGGGGGGGGGGGGCGGGTAACGACCGTCACGCGCCAGAGCAGAAACAAAGCAATCTCAACGGTTGCAGCACTCGGGATCAAACCAGCTTCTCCCTCTGCGGGGCACTTGGTGCCCAAGGCCCTTTCCCTCCCCCCCCCAAAAGCGGTGCTGTGGAGCCGATGGCCCGGCCTCGGCACGGAGCTCGATCTCCAGGCTGTTGGGCAGCTGCTTGATGAGGTCGACGTTTTCCTCCTTCGTCCTGCGCACAAATGCGAGACGGGGATTTATCCTGATCCACCACCTGAGGAACCGCGTCTTGGGATCTCAGCGGGCGGGGTGGATGTGGAAAGATCCCCCCGTGATTATGGATAGATGCCCACCGAAGAACAAGCGCAGTCAAGCAGCACTAGCAGCCCCCTGCCACCACCTGTCGAGCTCAACCAAACAGGCTGTCAGAGGCCCTGCACGGTTCACGTCTCTGCCCTCATCTGGCAAGCTTAGTGTCTAATTTAGAAAGCTTCCTGTTCAGTGGCGCACACATGCTGAGCGAACAGTGGTGACAGAGTAGCCGCCTCCATGGTCCCTGGTACCGAATGAAGTGCTATGATGGAGTGATATTGCACCTCCTCCTCCTCCTCCTTCTCCTTCTCCTCTTCCCCCTCCTCATGATCCTCCTGCACAGGGCGGCAGGATCTGATGCACAGACGGCGAGTGGGTAACACGCACGGTTTGGACCGCGACGCGCGTGTCATCAAAACTCACGTCATGCTCTGAAGGATGAGGAGAGCCATCCTCGTCTTCTGAGGCTCGCAGCCCCCTCCCTCCGCCCCTCTCCCTCGAAAGGAGAAAGGTCCTGGACCTTTCTGCTGGCTTTCAGGCAACCAGGCAGGGGCCTCCCTGGGTCTGGGGCCGTAACAGAAATGCGTCACGACCACAAGCTTGCCATAGGGAAGGCCCTGGTGGCCAGGAACCTTTTCCACTAGGACCCACTTCCCTCATACCCACATTCGTCTTCGACGATGACGACGAAGAACCTCTTCCCCTCAGGCTATCAGACTAGAGGCCTCCGAGATGGGGTCCGAGCAGATGGGGTCGGAGGATCGCGCCGCATCGCGGATACATCGGCGATGCATCGGCGATGCATCGGTGATGCGACGGCGATGCATAGTCGACGTCGGCGGATGCATCGGTGATGTCGACGTGAAGCATATCGGGCCCCACATCGAGCCGCATCGCCGATGCATCCGCGATGCGGCGCGATCCTCCAACCCCCATCCACCCCGACCCCATCGAGGCGGCCTACACCGACAGCAGAGCCCAATCCGCACACAACCCCGCGGAAGTCGGCGCCGGACCCCCCTCCCCAAGGCCCCCTGCACGGCGATCCCCACGCTGGGGACGGCGCGCCCCGAGCGGCGCGTGGAAGGGGGAGTGGGGATGGGGGGGAGGGAGGGTCGGGCATGCCCTCCTACAGGCGGACTCTGGAAGAAGATTGACAAACAGTCAAAACATATTCAACCATGGTCGAAAAATCGTCCCAAGGCTATTTCCATACTGTTTTGGAATACTCCTCGTGTAGGGGGACATGCCCGACCGACTTAAGTCCAGCGCCGCCCCGAGAGCTTCATCGTGTTCGAGCAATGGTTCTCGGTAGGAAACCGACAGCCCTGCACCAATACCGAGGCCAGCTGGGCCCGCTCTGGACGAAGAGGGTACACCGACCTCGGACCCAGCTTCGTCCCAGCCAAGATCAGTGTGAGTGTAGATAGTGGAGGCCCGACCCAAAAAAACCTCCCACAAGAAACCTAACCCTGAGACCCCAGGACGTGCATTGATTTTTGGTGTAGGAACGTCACACCTTCCACAGCAAAACCATCGAAACCCAAGGAACCCAGGGCACCCTGGAGGCAAGCAGGGTGTTTCTTGACATGGGCCCGCACTGTAGATAGCGCCACCCGACTCCTGGTTATCGCCAAACTGGACGCTTGCATCCCAAAACTTGCATCTTGGAGCGCAAGGCAAGCAGTCAAAGGGGGGGGATACTGGGGGAGAGGAAGGGAGACGAACAAGCACAATCAGACAATGGCACAGGGCCAAAGCAAACATGCAAGATAGCTGGAAACGGCATATGGCGCCCAGATACTGACATGATACGCCTGGAACGCATGCAAAGGATGGTCGTACCTGTAGGACGCGATCTCCCCTTCTTTCTGGCACTTACCTTCCGGCGCAACCAGGCAAAATTACCGATAGTAACACAAAGCAGCAGCGGCAGGAGATGGCAATGGGGCAGGAGGAGCCGAGCTGGGTAAGGATAAGGAGGGAAGCGGGGAAGGCGTGACCACCAAAAGAACCCCGGGGCCAAAGCAGCCAAGGAGGCTTCCCTGAAACAACGCCGACAGCCGAAGTGGACGAGGCACATCCGAGTTTGGTTTGTTCCTGGCCTCTGTAAGGGGTGTTTGGCAGCGTGTGTGTGTGCACATTAGCGTTGCTCGCTTGCACACGCTGACCGTACCATCCGCCGACTGGGAAAGGAACACTGTGCTTGTGCTTGTGCGTGTGTGTGTGTGAGAGTGTGTGTGTGTGCGTGTGCGTGTGCGTGTGTGTGTGTGCATGTGTGTGTGTGTGGGTGCGTGCGTGCGTGCGTGCGTGCGCGCTTGCGTGTTTGTGTGTGTGTGTGTGTGTGCGTGTGTGTCTGTGCGTGTGTGTGTGTGTGTGCTTTTGTATGTATGCATGTATGTATGTATACGTGTACGTATGTACGCAAGCACGCACGCACGCAAGGCGCCCCAGGGAGGCGGAGGCGGGAGGGCGTGCGGGCACGCAGCGGGTCCGATGGGCGTCGCCCTGCACTTCCCGCAAGACCTGCCAGATGCGGTCCTGCGCTCGGCCGCGGGCGCGGTGAACCAGGGCAGGCCGAGTCCACCAGCACCAGCCCGGCGTGAAGCTCAGAGGAGAAACTGGTACCGATACAGCGTTGCCCTTTGCCCCGCTTGGGCCGTTTGGGCGCCTCGCGGGAGGCCCCTGCCGCCGCGGCTGGATTCTCGTCGAACTTCTGGTCAGACCGCACCTCGGGATAGGTCCGCGGAGTAGCGCTATCGGTATTCCTTGCTTTCCTAGAAGCGGACCCTTTTCGCGCAATGGGAACGATCTAACGTTCCTGCGGAAACCAACAGATACCGATACCACTACACCCCTGACTTCTCCCAGGGTGCGGTCTGGCAAGGAATTCGAAGCGAATCCTGCGGTGGCGACGAGGGCCTCCCAGGAGGCCCAAGAAGTGGAATAACAGGCGAGGGGCAACGGTATTCGTACCCTTTCCTCCTATGAGTTCCCTGGCACGCGTTCCTAGAGGCCTCCTAGATAGGTCCGAGCAGATGGGGTCGGAGGATCGCGCCACATCGCCGATGCATCGGCGCTGCATCGGGGATGCACTGCGACGCATCCGCAACGTCGGCGATGCATCGGCGACGTCGACGTGAAGCAAATCGGGCCCCACATCGAGCCGCGTCGCCGATGCATCGGCGATGCGAGGCGATCCTCCTACCCCCATCTACTCCGACACCATCTAGGAAGCCTCGAATTCCATCAAGCGGATTGCTGTGCTCGTCCTCGTCACCGCCCCGCGGCTCCCAACAGCGGATTGCCCCGCGACCCGCCCCGCGGCTCAGCCCGCGACACCGCCCCACGACCGGGCCCGTGGCCCGCCCCGCGGCCAGCCCCACGCCGTCGCCGCCCCGCTGGGAGACCCGCCAACGCTGCTTTGATACCCAGGAAGGAAAGAGAAGTTCTGCGGCAACTCATGGGAGCCTCCAGTACCAACTTGCTGGTTCTTGCGAATTGACGCCGTCGACACAGATCGTCGCTAAAGCGACGCTAATCGATGCCAAATCGACGGTAATCGACGATCGTCGACGCTAATCGACGTTAGCTCGGCACTATCTGATCGATTACCAGACGCTAGTCGGCGCTAGTGCACTCTGAAGACAAATTTACGAGGGTACACAAGGCTCTCAGGATTCACTACCAAACACAAGAGGCGCCGAATAGTGAGGGGGCCCAGGGACACACAAAAAAAATACACTAATCTCAGGATTCCCCTCATTTCCAATACGTTCTGGATGTTCGTTTTCCCCTCCACTTCCCACGTTTTCCAAATGTTCGAGGGAATCGACGATTATCTGCATCTGTGTTTTTCTCTACTGGAAAAAAGGGCACAGAAAGCTGTAGAAGCAGAATCTGTCAGAGGTCCGCGCGGACCTCTTGGACCTGCGCTGGAGCCTCCCGGCGCCCCTGGCGCATTCCGCGCGCCAAGGAGGCATGTCCAGCGCGGATCCAAGAAATCCGCGCGGATCACTGATTGTTGTGGTTTATGCAGTTGTTTGGTTTTTCGAGCCAAGGCGGACGGCTTTGCACTGTCTTCGGGGGACGCCGAAACGTACCCCGGTCCGCGCGACCCGCCAGCGAGCCGCCCAGAATGCGATGCTTCCGTTGCTCTCCTCACTCTCCTATGCGCAACTGTGGCGTTTCGGCTCGTAACGACACAGATCGGTAGATCACATACACACATCGCATACACATACATATGCACATGCGCATCGCATCTAGAGGACCTCCTCGATTTGTCCACCGATGTCTGACAACCATCGTTCGCTGGTGAAGCGGGGGTGCGCGAGCCCCGAGGCGTGGCCAAAAGGTGTGCCCCTCGAGTGTGAAATCCTCGTGTGGCAGCAAGGTGCGGCCCCAAAATGTGGCACACGAAGATTGCCCACCAATCTGGTGAGGACCCATTCGCGCACATGGGCGCATGTCTGCCCACACGTATGCACATACACGTCACAGTGAGGGGGCCGAACGGTCATTCACTGTCCCTGGGTGCGTGGCTGAACTGGAATTCCGCGGTGCGGATTATCGTTGTTGTTGTTGTTGTGTGTTGTGTGTTGTTTGTTGTTGTTGTTGTTGTTGTTGTTGTTGTAATTGTTGTTGTTGTTGTTGTTGTTGTTGTTGTTGTTGTCTGTTGTTGTTGTTGTTGTTGTTGTTGTTGTTGTTGTTGTTGTTTGTTGTCGTCGTCCCACCCGCAACCCGCCCCGCGACCCACCCGCGACCCACCCCGCGACCCACCCCGCGACCCACCCGCGACCCACCCCGCGACCCACCCGCGACCCACCCCGCGACCCACCCCGCGACCCACCTCGCGACCCACCCCGCGACCCACCCCGCGACCCACCCCGCGACCCGCCCGCGGCCCACCCCGCGACCCACCCGCGACCCACCCGCGATCCACCCGCGACCCACCCGCGACCCATCCGCGACCTACCCCGCGACCCGCGACCCACCCGCGACCCAAACCACGTTCAAGGTACAAACCACCATTTTCGGCGCCTGCGGCGGGCTTTTTTTGCATTCCTTCCAGGTGGAGAGCCCGCGACCCACCCCGTGACCAACTCGCGACCAACCCGCGACCCAAACCACGTTCAGGGTACAAACCACACTTTTCGGCGCCTGCGGCGGGCATCTTTTGCATTCGTTTCAGGTGGAGAGCCCGCGGCCCACCCGCGACCACGTTCAGGGTACAAACCTCATTTTTCGGCGCCTGCGGCGGGCATCTTTTGCATTCGTTCCCGGTGGAGAACCCGCGGCCCACCCGCGACCCAACCCACGTTCAGTGTACAGACCAATTTTTTGGGCGCCTGCGGCGGGCTGCTTTTGCATTCCTTCCAGGTGGAGGTGGAAAGCCCGCGACCTAAACCACGTTCATTGAACAAACCAATGCCGCACAAGCGCGGCGGCGGATTTTGGCATGCCGTCTGAGGCCGCAAGGACCTCTTCAAGCCCCGCGCATCCACACCAGCCCGTCCAGCAACTCTGCCCTGGCGAGTTGCCTTGATCAGAGAAGGCGGGGAGCATAAAGTGGAAAAAAGGATTGCGTTGCAGTTATCTTGGGTAAGGAGGAGGAGGCAGGAGGAGTAAACAGCGGACGAGGAGAACGCGGAAGAAGAGAGGATGTAAGGAGAATGTGGAGAAAGAAAAAAAGGAGGAGCAGGACGATCATGGAGGCCGATGAAGGGGAGGACGACAATGGGAGGACGATGATGAAAGGACGAGGGGGGGAGAGGGAGGACGAGGAAGAAGAGGAGGAGGAGGAGGACGAGGTGGAGGAGGAGGAGGACGATGACGATGAGGACGAGGACGGAGGAGGAGGAGGAGGAGAGCGCCATCGATAGGGAAGGTGGGGGCCACGAGGTCCGCCGGCTCGACGACGCCCGCGTCGCTCGCGCCCGCCCCCTTACTCTTATCCGCAATTGCGGGTTGCTATATATTCCGCGTTCAATCTTGAGCAGCAGCGATCCTGGAGGTCGTAACTGACCTCGTGTTGGCGGAGGTACTCACGCATGTCCGCCTCCTGCGCGGTCACCTCCCGCTTGCCGTCTTGTAGCCTGGGGGTGCGGGGCGAACGGGCAACGCTAACCCTCTCGCACACTTCCCTTCGACCACCTCCCTCGTCCCCATCCTTTCCCCCCCCCCCCTTCCTGGGGAAATCATCGGTACCCCCCGGGGTCTCTCCCAGGGTGCGTTCTGACCAGGATTTCGACGTGAATCTAGCGGTGGCGATGAGTCCCTCCCAGGAGGCCTAAAAAGGGGAAACGGGCGAAGGGTAGCAGTATGGGCATCTATTCCTCATCTGACTTTCTCCTGCACATCCCGCGCTTTTCCTTAGGAGAAAACAAACAAAAACGCCATAGACACAAACTGTTGGCGCTCCGCGCGGATTTCTCGGATCCGTGCGGGACCCCCTCCCTGGCGCGCGGAGCGCGCCCGGGGCGGCGCTGGAAGCGTCGCCGAGGGGCCCCGCGCGGATCCGAGAAGTCCGCGCGGAGCGCCAAAAGTTTTTATATTTATGGCGTTTTTTGTTCTTCGATTCCTCCTGTACATCCCGCCCCCGTCGTGTCCCTCCCGCATCCAGGGCATGGACGAGACCCGCGGTCGACAACGCCGTGGCTGCGCGATGCGGTGCCAGTGGCTGCCCCCCCTCCGCGGAGGGTGGCAATCACCCCTGCGCTCCCGCTAGGAGGCCCCTTAGATGGGGTCGGAGGGGGGACGTGTGCAGCAGGAGGAGGAGGAGGAGGAGGAGGAGGAGGAGGAGGAGGAGGAGGAGGAGGGGGGTAGTCTGGTATTCTCGGCCTCCCAGATGGGGTCGGAGGAGATGGGGTCGGAGGATCGCGCCGCCTCGCCGATACATCGGCGATGCATCGGCGATGCATCGGCGATGCATCGGCGATGCATCGGCGACGTCGGCGTGGGGAAGCACGGTCTCCACGTCGAGCCGCATCGTCGCTGCTTCGGCGATGCGTCGGCGGTGCGTCGGCGATCCTCCGACCCCATCTCCTCGGCCCCCATTCTCGGAGGCCCAGGCCCACGGGAACCGCGAGCAGCCGGGCCCCGCGGGCTGCGGAGCACGTCTCCGAGGAGAGGTCCTCACCTCTCGTCCGATGGGGCTTGCCCTAAGACCTGCCGTCGCTCGGACGTCCATTTCCCGTGCATGTTTCGGTTTCGTGCGTGTGTTTTTTTGCTCGATGGTCCAGAATGGTCCTCGATGGTCCTCGCCGAGAAACAAATGCACACGTCCGAGCGATGCCAGGAAGAGGGTGCAGAAGCCAGCAACACCGTATTTTTTCTGGCATCCACGCGGACTTCTCGGGTCGGCGCTGGACCCCCTGTGGAGGCCTGGAAATGGGCACCAACACCAACACAGGGGGTTGCCCCCACAGGCGGAAGACGATCCCAGATTTCGGTGTTGGTGGTAATAGTTCGGTCACCCTGGAAGCCATAATATTACCACCATCACCGAGATCGTGTTCTTTTTCCCTCGGCTGAGGCACAGCGCCGATAATGGTGTTGGTGTCAACCTCTAGGCCTGCGACCCCTCCTCTGGCGCGCGGATTGCGCAAGTGGCGGCGCCGGAGGCGCAAACAGGGTGTCCAGTCCAACGCCGACAACAGAAATCCGCGCAGACCCCCGAACATTGATGGATATGTATGTTTGTTCGAGTTCGATGCTCGGGCATGCCAGGGCCTCATCCTCCTCCCTTCTCCTGCCCGATGGCCCCAGGACGCAGACCCAAGGCAAGTGCATGTCTGTTTGTGCTTGCGCGCTGGCTGGTGTCCGATTGCCTGAAAATGCCAGCACGCGTGACACCATGCGCCTGCTCGCTCGTCGGCGTGATAGCGCTTGCTGTCTCCGTTTGCGTCAATCACTCTTTATTCAGCTCTACCTCCACATATGTTCTATACATCGCACCACGTGTCAATACAGGTACCACTATACCACATGCGTACCGATATTCACTAGTGCCTGGAGCCTAACATACTTCAATCAAATATTTGCGTTCACCAGCTCTCTCCAATCCAAATGCTCCCCAAGTGTCCCGACGCATCCTGGGCTGTAAAGACCTGCCTGCATAACATGGCTTGCACGACGGCCAAAGACGGCCTCCGAGAGAGACCTGAACTAATCTCCACTAGCGACGTCTGGGTCATTGTATGTCTGGTCTCTGCCTAGGCCGCGGAGGGAGCGCCTGATCATGCTGGTGATGATCAAGCCGATCAAATGGGTCATCGTGATGACGCAAATCACGGAGAAAAATACTGCAAACAGGCTTTCCTGGGCTCCGCAGCCAAAAGAAGACAGATGCCGCGATGTGCCCTCCGAAGACTCAGAGCGATGACGTGCTCACGCTCTCGCTTGAAATCATCCGAATGCGAATCGCATGGTCAAATGTCGAGCGGAACGACGCACTATCGACAACTGCGTAACAAGATATCTAGGTTGACGGAGATCAAAGAAATAGGAACGCGAACTCGATCCCGCTGCCCGTCAGCCCAGACCTTACAACAAAAACTCACAGAACGAGCAGAAACGTACGGACGCAAACAGATGGCCATGCGGATGTGCGCAAGGGGCAGCGGACATGAGTCCGTGCTAAACAATCCCTCTAGCCACGATGTCTAAAAACAATCGAAACGTGCAAATTGCGTGTCGAAGAATTGAGGCGACCCACCGGGCCATGCATCAGCGTGGATATATACATATAGAGAGAGAGAGAGAAAGAGAGAGAGAGAGAGAGAAAGAGAGAGAGAGAGAAAGATAAAGAGAAAAAGAAAGATAAGGAGAAATATACATAAAGAGAAAAAAGAAACACAGTATAGTTACACATACACCTATATATGCACGTCTAGAATTGTTCATGTACTGTATATGTCTGAATGTACACACGCTTTTGCACACACGTATCATTACATATGCACCTCTCCGAATAAATATAGCTTGGAGACCAGTATTGGTGAAGCCGTTCCTTCCCCGCTGCGTCTGACCATTTCGCTCGGGACACCCTCAAAAGTATAAACTCGGGCGCGCCTCTCACGCAGATCGTACCGCCAAGGTCAAAAAGTAAACAGGTATTTCACAATTTGAAAAAACATCTCGAGCACACACAGTAAGCTCCACTGGTTGTGCACATACGCGTTCAAACGCAATTGTTGTTTCAATGGTTTGCCGATCAGCTCTTCAGCGTCACATGAGAAACGTCAAGCACCACAATTGATCTGGTAATGTTGCACACCACTCTGGAACCCATGTGTTGATATTTGGCTTACAATGGCATCCTACAACGTTGCTCCGACCTCCGTTTCTTCACGCCCACATGTGTGATCATTTGCATATCGTATTATCGCAAGCTGTGTGGCAGCCACATCGGTGGTCCCGCATTGCTGTTTGAATGGGCCCAGGCACACACATATGCCTGTGAGAATACGTACGAATGTCTGCATATAAATACATGTACATACGCATGTGCAAACAAAGTTATATCTATATATATACATATGTATGTATACACACGCCCTCTTCTTATCTGAGTATGTGTATAGAAATCACCAAGAGAGTCGAAACTTCCGAAACAGATCCATCGGACAACTGCAAGGAGCCGAAGCGAACTGAGTGCAAGTGTGTTGGGACCACTTCGGCAGGGCAACCGCCTCGGAGGTAGTACACCACAGGGTTATGGACAGCAGACGGTACAGTTCTTCTGATTGGCAAATCTGCGGCTGAACCCCAGCTGTTCTTGGCCTCGGGCCTCATCATCTTTCCGTCGCGGCCAGACTGCGGAATCGGGGGGTGGCACATGCAGAATGGCCTACCCTCACGTCTGTCGGGCCGGAGCTGGGGATCGGGCCGCGAGAACGGATCGGATCGAGAACGTCTCGGTTCACCTTCGAATCTAGAAGAAGAGAAAACGCCATAAACAGAAATGTTTGGTGCTCCGCGCCGATTTCTTGGATTCGCGCTGAACCCCCCTCCCTGGCGCGCAGAGCCCAGGCGCGGATCCAAGAAATTCGCGCGGAGCGCCAAAAGTTCATGTTTATCTGTTTTTTCCTCCTTCGAAGAACAGAGCCGCCCTGCGGGAGAGGGAGGAGGGCAAGCGAGGAGGCGTGGGCAGACGAGGGGGGGCGAGACTTGGACCCTGGGCTGGGGCAGAGAACGAAAGAAGACGACGGTGCAATTGAATGATGCGGAGAGCATGCCGCTTTGAGAAGCCTCCTAGATGGGGTCCGAGAAGATGGGGTCGGAGGATCGCGCCGCATCGGCGATGCATCGGCAATACATTGCCGACGCATCGGCGATGTATCGGCGAGGCATCGGTGCCATCGGCGAGGAGAAAATCGGGATCCACATCGAGAGCCATCGCAGATGCATCGCCGATGCGGCGCGATCTTCCGACTCCATCTACCCCGGCCCTGTCTAGGAGGCCCAGAGCTTTGGGTTAAAGGATTGGATGCTCTGCGACCCCATGGAGTGCCATGATCTGGGACGTGGGCCAAATGTCGGCGGTGGACAAGCCTCCCTTTAATAGACCTCCCCTTACTGAAAACGGCCTGGGACCGAAACCGACGGACCTGGACCCGCAAAAATGACGGCCGCGACGCCCTCTCGCGAACCGAAAACGGCCAACTCCTTAATCGACGTGTCAGGGTAGGAGGTCTGTCCACCCCCGAAAGTGCCCCAAAACAGGGGCAAGGCTCCAGTCGGGGGTTGAGGCCCGCGTGCGCGCGCCCGGGGGCTGGGCCACAAGCGCTTGGACAGGTGTGGAACAGCGCAATAAAAAGGAAGCGCGGCGGGGCAGACTTGCAGCCGGAGTGGCGCATCACCAGGCCCACTTGTCCACACGCACCTCGGCAAGGAAGCCTTTTGGCCCAAACCCATTCAGATCAAGTCTCCAGACCCCCCTGGCGCCATCTGGACGAGTATTCGGGCTGCGTCGAGCCGAAATGACGAAGAGTAGCTCTCAGGGCGAAGACTTCATCACAAGGACAAGTAAGTATGGCGTGGGCACGTCGCTTCGCCCCACATCTGGTGGTGCGATCGAACGGTACTCATGAGGGGCACGACAACATAAATACGGTACACACTCTAAAACTTCCTCAACTTTTTAAGCACAACAAATACAGAGAGTATCCTGAACATGCGTCCCCGCCGACCACGCGACCTCCTTCCTTAGACTCGGCAGAAGTGGTGCCGAGGAGGAGAGATGCCCCTGGCGGCCAGACTTGCACAAGAGGAACAAGTGCCATGGTGCAAGAGGTGCTGGCAACAACGGCAGCCGGCAGCGGCAGCACTCCAGCCAATTCTGGGGGTAGATCTGCGAGTCGCCGAACCCTTCCACCGCGCCGGCATGTCCCGCAGTACGCTTGCTCTGCAGTGGGCGCACTGCGCACTGGGAGGGGCTCGAGGTATACACGATGTCGTCTGGTCGGCGTATCGACCCCTCAGCGTCCCAACCTGTGGGATTCTGGAGCATCAGGGCAAAACATATTCGCCGAAATCCTCGGCTCAAAAGCCGCCCAAACGAAGTGGTGTATGCATCGGGTTCCTCAGAGGCCCACAGAAGAATCCGACTCATCCTGACACCTGCCGCATCACACCGCGATGCTCCCCCTGTTACTGTCACTCGCGATGTTGCACATCAGGTGACGTTTCGAGATCACTTCACCGGGCAAAAAGCAACACATGCTCAAAAACCCATACTGGGTCCTAATGTCGTGGCGTGCACGAAGCAGCTTGACCCGGGACGTATGACGATTATCCGGACTCCCTTGAACAAGGGTCGGAGACCAGGGCTGGGACCTATCTTAGGCAGAGGCATCCAGTGCGCAAGCTCTGACGCCCAAAGAACCCATGCAACAGGATTTCCTAGGGCTCCCAACTTCGCGCTTCGCGCTGCGCGAAGCGCGAAGCGCGAATAACTTCGCGCTCTCGCGCCGCCCTCCCAAAAGGAGAATAGGAGGACGAGGAGGAGGGGGAGAAGGATCGAGGACCGCGAAGCGCGAAGCGCGAATAACTTCGCGCCCTCGAGGGAGCCTTTGGCAACAGGATTTCCGCGCCATTCCAGATGTCCCACAGGGGCGGCTCGTGGCTGGAGGAACCCACGCGTGGGCAAAAAACTGCACCGCAGCGGCAAGAGGCTCTGCACTGCCGATGCATCAGCTGACGTGCAAAGACGCTGAAGGACAAAACTGTCTTGATCCGCGGGTCGAAAGCGAGCCTCGCTCGGTCGAAGCCAAGCGGGCCGCGCACAGCTTTCATGGACAGACGGGGGAAGACAGGAGGAGGGGCCTCACGTCGAGGCCAAGAGAGGGCACAGCCCCGGGAACAGGCGGTGCCGAAGGCGACGGGCATGCAAAGGTACGCCTTGCACAGGAACCCGGAGGCGACCGAAGGAACAACCAAGCCGTGCATAGACAAATCGGCAACGCCAGACAATCTGCACCGGAGCGGCCCTGCCTCGGCCGTGCGGCCGCACGGCAGGCGACCCGCGAGAAACGCGAGGAACGCGCGACTGAATTCGTGCTGGCCATCGCTCGGACGTCCACTCCCTGTGCTGTTTTCGGTTTCGTACGCGGTTTTTCCGCCAAGCGATCAAGGATGCTCCTGGATGGTCCTCGCCGAAAGAAAAATGCACACGTCCGAGCGATGCCAAGTCGCAAGGCACACGAGAAAACTACTGTGGCAGTGCCCCCCCTCCGACCCGGAGGCCTTCGCCCGGGGTCTGCCAGCCCGTGCTCCCGCGAGATGGCGCGCGCGAAGACGCGACGCATGACAACGGGATCTTCGGGAGGTTGAGCAACACACAGGAGCAAGAGAAGCCAATGCTGAGATCTCCTGATCTCCTGGACAAGGCTCGGGAGGCTTGATACACCTGGGAGATGCTGGTCAGTGCTGGGGAATACGGTTGGAAAGCGGGAAGGGCGTTTAGTAGAGATTGTAAAGTTAAAAGGGCCGATACACATTGCATGTAAAGCTTATGATGCGGGTGACGAGGTCATCAATATTCAAGTCTAGTGTGCTTCAAATATTCCTTCCCATGTCTCCCACTGCTGGTCTGGACTGCCCAACTGCGTCACCCATTACGCACGCTGTTCCGTCGGCTTCCTGACCCTGTCCATGGTCTGAGGACATTGACACCGTGCCAAACAAGCTGCTCGACAAGACGCGTGTTGCGGGGAGTAGTCGCGTGTGTTTAAATCTTTACCTCGACACTAGAAAGCTGCCCATCCCCCGTACGCCCTGTAGCAGCTGGCACGACCTAGCCATCGGTTCCACATGCGAATGCAAAGAAGGCTCCGCAGCCCTCGCGCACCGTTTCGTTCGCTCGCGTGTATAATCCCAACTCACCACAACTATAAAGCACGTCGTTTACTCGCGCCGCCCGTTCCCGCCTAGCTGCGCCAAGGCCCACCGCAGTGATGTGAAATACCTGAACGCGTGGTTGTCGCTGTTCGGGGGGTATGTTTCCTGGGCGCTTCAATGTCAAGGCTGCTGTGAGGATGCAACACGACAAGTAAGCAGAAGTGGCACGATACGACCCGCACCGAATACGACTCAAATGTGGATAAGCTGTGCGTTGGAAGCGGAGGAGGGAGCTGAGATGACGATGCAGATGCAGCCACAGAAGCAAGACAGGCGTGCCAAGAAGCTCGGGGCAGAAACTGATGAACAGCATATGACAACAACGCGCCATGACTGCTCTGATTCGCACCACCCCTCGCCAACAACGGTGCGATCAAAACTAATCCCCGCGCGCCAACTCCCCCGGGCACTGTCCAGACAATCCCCTGGACCAACGCACGGCAGTGGAAACCTCGCGCATGCGGACAGGACTGACGGGCGCACCTGGGCCTCGAAGCCTCGAAGCCACCCAAGAACGAGCCCCGCCACTGACGCAGAGCGTGATGCTGTGAGCCCCCAGGCCAAGACGACACCGCTGCGCTCCGAAGAGTCCATGCGCAGGCTGGCATTAGGTCGGGCATGTCCCCCATACAGGCGAATGTTGGACGAAAGCTTGGAAAGACTCCAACACAAATCAAGACATACTCAACATTTGTCAAAACATCGTGCCCAGACAGTTGTGTTTCCTATGTTTGAATCCTCCTCCTGGAGAGGGACGCGCCCGAGTGAAACCCATGCGCAGGCTGGCATGAAGAAACAAAAAACGATCCCGAGGAAACCGGGCCCTGGACCCTGGGACCGTCCCCCCAGGGGACCAGCGCTTCGCCCTGGGCCGATGCTTTGCTGACAACCTCGGGGCCCCGTGGAGGGCCCGAGGAGACAGACAACAAAAGGCGAAACATACGGCAGGAGCCCGACCTCAGGACACCTCCCGCAAGAAACCCAGCCCTGAGGCCCCAGGACGTCCATCTCTGGCGGGGGAGCGCCACGCCTTCAGCAGCAGAACCAAGGAAATCCGAGACACCCAGGGCGCCCCGGAGCGAGCAGGATGTCTCCTGGAATGGGCCTCCACTGCACGCACGGAGGCCCGTGGCGGGCCCCCCGGCCTGGCGCGCCAGGGTCCGCTCCGCCCCCCCTCCCCCGCGATGCCGCGGGCCCCCCCCGCCATAGCCCCCCGCAAAAAGGAGGGGGGCGAGAACTGTGCGTCGGCGGCGCCCCGAGGGCCTTCTCCAAGACGGCGGGGCCTTCGGGTCAAGGCTTCGAACGAAGAGCCATACAAAGTACCCCCCGATCGCCGGTGGACAAGCCTCCCTTCAGTAGACCTCCCCTTAGTGAAAACGGCCTGGGGCCGAAACGGACGGACCTGGACCCGCAAAAATGACGGCCGCGACGCCCTCCCGCGAACCGAAAACGGCCAATTCCTCAATCGACGCGTCAGGGTAGGAGGTCTGTCCACCCCCGACCATAGCCCTTTCTTAAGAGGGGGCCCAAGTTAGGAGGGCCAAGCGCATTAGAGATGTGGCGTCGTCTTCGCCAGATGCATCGGACCAAGCCGCCGAGAATTACGATCCCCACGTGGTGCGACGACGGGGACCCACGTGAGGCCACGCCCCCACAGTGGTATCACGGCATCTTCGATGCTAAAAGGCTTCTCGGAAGGCCGGATGAATCCTGAGCCCCCTGAGCAGGCCCGCCCCCTCTGCCGTCCCCCCGATGGTCGCGCCGCGCCTCTGTGCCCACAGGCAGGCCAACGCGCGGCCGACCCAGACGCTCGCGCGAGTGGCCCCGCCCCGATTTCGACCAGGGTTCCCCCTGTCGATATCACCCCTGTTCTACCGAATTTGTGTAGTGTTTATTCTTGCCAGTGTGTATGCAGATTAGCACAGACGTGAAGTATTGCTTGCAGCGTTGCAATTCGATTGCCATGTACCATCGCCGTTTGATGTTCAGGGGCCCCTGAGTCATGTAAAAGGTTGCGTTTCGTTTCATACGGCCGATAATCAAGATTATCAATTCTTTACGAACAATCCCGAGTAGACTTCGTGTGCTACCATCGGTTGATATTGGTAGCGGAGCCGGAGATCCACACTCCGGCTCCCCACCGCCGCCGCCATGCCAGCGGACCCGCGCCCGCGGGGCCCGCCGAGGCCGCAGGCCACTCCGGCGTCACCGCCGCCCGCGAGGGCGCCCGGCGCCGCGGCCACAGCGGCCGCCGCTGCAGGAGCTGCCGCCGGCAGCGCACCGACAGCGGAGACGTCCAGAGTCCCGCCATCTCCCGACAGCACCGTGGAGGGTCATTACGCCGAGGGCGGGGACTGGAACGATTGGTGGCAGAGGGCGAGTTCCGCCTGGGACGGTGGGGGAAGAGGCCTTGACGCAGGCCTGTCAAAGACGGCACCGACATACGAGCTGCTCAAGACCGACGGCTACAGAGTCTTTCGCCGAAAGCTGGAGGTCTTCGAGCGCTGCTGCAGGAAGCGCGGCACCACCGCGATCAGCGAGGGCGCGTTCTTGATCATGAACTCGCTGCAGGGTGAAGCCGCGGAGGCTACGGAGGACATCGACCTGGATCAGCTGGAGTCCGAGGACGCCTTCAAGCCGCTGTTCCAGGTCCTCGACGAATACTACAAGTACGATAACCAGACCGAGCTGCCAGCCCGCACAGATCAGTTTTTCGGCAAGTTCGCTCGCCAGGATAAGGAGACGATGAAGCTCTACTGCTTGCGTCACAAGCGAGAGCTGAGGAAGCTCAAGGAGGTCGGCATGGAGATTCCCGACATGCTGGCGGGCTGGCACCTCCTCTCACGAGCGGCCGTCCCACCTTCGGGCGCCGCCCAGGTGCGAAGTCAATGTGCCAATGGCCTCAGTTGGATTAGTGTGAAGAAGGCCCTACTCGATACATATGGAGCCGAAGCCGTACCCGACAAGCGCGACGTGAAGCGAGTTGAGAGGATGCTGGTCGGGCAGGGTCATAAGGACGACGTACACTACACGAACGACTACGAGTGGGAGCGAGGCCTGAGCTACGAAGACTCATACCTGGAGGAGGAAGAATACGATTACGACGAATACGAGGAGTACGACGCTGAAGAGTACGAGGAAGAGGCCGACGTCGCCGAGGAGCTGCCGCAGGACGTGGAAGAAGCCCAGATCGCGTGCGACGAGGCCTACCTCAGTTTCGTGGATGCGAAGAGGCGCGTAGCGGAGATCGCCAAGTCGAGAGGTTTCTACCCGATCGTTGCCGTCGCGCCCGACAACAACTTTCAACACGGCAAGGGCGCGTCGCGCTCTGCCAAGCCGACGGGCGGCAAGGGCAAGGGCCGCAGCAAAGGCAAAGGCAAAGGCAAGGGCACCGGCTCGCGCCAGGTGTTCAGGCCGAAGGTGAACATCTTCAACAGGCCCCCGACGGCGACGCCGGCAGGATCGACCGCTACAGGCTCGACACAGCAGCACGGCCCGAGGTTCAAGCGATTCCGTGGAGGAGGTTTCGTGAAGCCCGATTCGGAGCACGCCGCCATGGTAGAAGACGTGGAGACGCTAGAGTACGCTAACTCGACCGAGGAGGTGTACCTGATGTCGACTGGCAAGGGCATCAGCGACGGCGGTGCGACGCGACCCGTCATGGGCGACAAGATCTGGGCGCAGTGGGAGGAGCTGCTGCGTTCACGCCAGCTGCTGCACGAGGTCGAGTACGGCAGGAGCGACCGACGATTTCGATTCGGAGACGGCAAGACGCTGGAGGCCAAGCGGTCCGTGACCTTGAACGTGTGGCCGTTCGGCGTCAAGAAGCAGATCACGATCCATCTCGTCGAGGGGTGGACGCCGCTGCTCATCGCCCGTCCGTGCATGGAAGAGTGGGGTTTGGTCCAGGACTACCGCGCCGGCACGTTTATGATGAAGGACCTCCCCGACAAAGGCTGGATGAAGTCCGAGCGAGACGAGAAGGGGCACTTCATCATCGACCTGCTGGGTGGCGCCGGCAGGGCCACCGACGACGCGATGAACGAGGGCGCGCCGACCGAGGGCGAGCCCAGCAGCGACGACTCGACCGACAACGAGTCCGAGGCACCGCCGAGCGAGTCCGAGGACGATTCTGAATCGTCCGACGTGGACCCCGACGCGTACTACCTCGAGACGGTCACCGAGTTTTATGACATCAGTGACAATGACGACGTGGGAAGTGAGCGGACCCAGGAGTTTTCGGTGGCGGGTTCGAGCGAGAGCGCTAGACCGAGCACGATGGACCCCGACACCTACACCGACCTGGCCCTGGCCCTCGAGCAGGCGTACGACGGCATGAAGGAGATGCTCCGAGGACCCCCGCCGCGTAAGGTCTGGGAGGTATTCGTGGACGCAGGAGGTCTGTCGC